CCAGAGTTACCATTTGTCTTTTTCATTTTATAAATCACCTACTTTAACAAACTTTCACATCACAGCTCTATGAATAATAAAAATGTATTATACATGTTCATGCTAAATTAGTTCTCATCTAAAATAACGAGAACTAATTTAGAATAATAATAAAATAATTTATTATTATTATTATTATTAAAACAACATAAAATATAATAATTACAAAAATTGATCCAGAAAAGAGTTTAAAGGAAGCCAAACTACTCAAAATATCTGTAACAGAACAAGATGAACTCAAACAAACTGACCTCCACTAATGAGACACAGGGAAACTTAAATAGTGGCTGATCAGTCCACAAAAGAAACACATAGGGCAAAAAATACAAAAACTTCACTAAACTAAGTAAAACACCATTTCCCCCCCCATTGCATTGATATAGTACGGTCCAAATCAACTCAGCACCGTGACCACCACAATCATACAAAACACCAAACACATTCATAAAAAAAAAAAACAGGGTAAACTAAAGAGTTTGCACTCATTTTTTCAAATACAGTGTAATAGTGATAAATAGTGATGGTGAGATGAAGCTTCATGAGGCATTGGACCGTTTGGCCAAATTGCTTCAACAATCCCCACAGTTCATGAAGCTTCATGTGAACATGTCACCACCTACTGGTGAAGTGCAGAACTACAGTTTGTAATAAAATATGTGTTTTTTTTGTAATTGTTTTTCTTTTTTTCCCATTTAAGTTCCTTTGAGATTGTTAATGGTTGGTGTGTATAATAAAATATTTTGTAAGTTTTTTTGTGTAAAATATCTTAGGAGAGAGCAATCATTTAAGGTTCACAGTTTTTCTGCCATTTTAGTGAAATAAGCTCAAGCAGACAGTGAAAGTGTTTGTGCAAATTGGGCAATGAGGACTAAAATGAATGGTGTTAATCATTTCTATTGAAACATTATAGTATTTCCACGGTTTTTGGGTTTAATTGGGTTGGAAGTTATTTGTTCAAGCAATCTTTTGGCTAAGTTTTTACTGAATCTATATTTTTTATAGGGCAAACCAATACAAATTAGTCACATTAGCCAAAATTCTTAAAATATTAAATATATATGCAACTTTCAAAAGTTTAAAGTGAGTCTTGAACCATCAACCTCAGGAGTAAAAGTCAACATCTTACAGCTGATGCCACCAACATTTAAAATTTATCAATAGAAATCAATAGTACTTAATACTAAAGTATGAACTGTGCTCAGCAGCCTGCTCAGATTTTAATCATTACATTATTTAATCTAACCAAAATGGTTTAACCAACTAGATTGTTTGTTTTTCCAACCAATCTATTCTTAGAATTTATCCAAACTCTATCCAACTGACAGCAACTCTCCTACAAACTCCCACATATTGACTGAGCAGTGAGGCTGTTTAAATGCCTGTCGAAGTTCTTCTGCTTTCTGAACCATTTCCCGAAGCGGTCACGTGGTAACAAATGTAGCGATGGCTTCGTATGTCATCCGTTTTGGCCCCTCCCCTAAATGAATTACGTCTCGACACACGCTTTGAGGAAACGCCCCCTCCATTACTCGACATACGCCTCAAAGCCTCATAACATCAGTAGTGATGAATAAATTCTAAATAATGAGATTGCTCTGTTACTGACAAAAACTAAATGACATAAATTGTGTTTGTTACATCATCTGTGTGGCTGTAGGTGGAGTAAAAAATGTTAAGATATGTCTGTTCTTAGCCTCACAGGCTCCAGACGAAGGTCATGAGAGATAATAATGAGTTAAACAGCCTCCTCCATGGCATGAAGGGGGGGACTTGTTTTGAGGAGATCCATCTGGCCAGTGAAAGATATATTAACCTCACAGGGAATGGCCTTGATGAACTCAAGTTGTTTTTCCTCCAAATGTTCGTGTGTGAGAAAGTTCTTTATGTAGGGGTGGGATAGTTCCAAGGGAGTGTGTGTGTCGTTGAGTTGTTGTATAAATGTATGTACTGAGCTTGCCCCAGTCAGAGCTCTATCTCTCCGTCTGAGAATGTTAAATAAATCTGAATATTCTCTTGCAAGAGTCTCAGTTTCTCCTCAACTTCACTCTGTAAATCCAGGCATCACACTCATTTAATGGCCAAGTATGAAACTAAGATTTCACATCCATCAAAGTTCAGGTACAGACACTGATATTTAGGGCAGAGAAGATTCACTGCAAATTAAACTACTTTGTTTCACTATCACAAAAAAAGAGCCTACATCATCCAAAATCAACCTTTATTATAAGCTTCTAACTACAGTGGCAGCCATTCAAAATGGCCCTCCCCAGTCAAACGCCAGCCGAATGGCAGCCCACTTCCCAGCAAAAATCCCCTCATTGTTTCCACCCTTTCACTCAATTACAGGGTCTGATCAGGAGATGATGCTTCACTTTAGATATTAATGTTCAGTAAACATGACAGAAAGAATATTTTAGTACAAAGATTGATGTTTAAAAAGGAATTGTAGGGGACCAACCAAGGGCCATCAAGGAAAGTGGGGACATTTTGAATGACTTTTACTGTTCATCAAAGTCATGCCCATGCTGGCGTTTTTTAATTGATGTGCATCCAGTTAAAACAGATCAACCACTGTCTTCTAAATGCCCCACCTCAATCCTGTCATGTATGTCCATTAGACTGCACGTCCACTTTGTCCAATCACAAGTTGGAATATGAAAAAGATAACTTCTGCTCAGAGTGAAGATGAATGGCCAAAATAAGGACCCTAATCACCAGAAGCTGGGTGATACAGCAACGTAAAATACCACCAGAAAATAACTAATAATTAATATAAAAATTTTGACTCTGTAATGCCTGAAACAATATTTCATCGTATGTATACCTATAGTGGGCTTTGGAAGCATTAAAAAAGCACAATAAAGAACCTTTAACTGGTTACAGTTTAAGCATAATGTGACCTTAAAACTAATACTTGTCTCTACAACTGCAAAGCTATCTTTTTTTTTTGAAAAACACGTTTATTGTCATTCAGGATTTAATAAAAAGACCAGTCAAGCGTTCCAGGTGACGGGTCAGCCCAGTATGGCAGGCGAGCAGAAAACATCATGCGCCCTGGGCTGCTGTGCTTTGATTTTTTTTTTAATAGAACGCAGCAGAGTCCAATCAATTGGCAGAATTGCTTGTTGCTAAAAGCCAGTGGAGCGTGGGGATCCTGCTCACTGGGCTTTCCAAATGTCACCCACTGCTGTCGCTTAAAGGGATGGAAAGCTCTCTCTGTTGCTCTAAACATCAGGTCACACAGCAACACTTTAACTCATATCTGCAGACAATTGATCGCAACAGTCTTTTTTTCCCCTATGCATTCATGTGGGAGTGGCATATTAGTAAAAAAATCCTGTTTGTTTCAAACCTGCCTCTTTCAACCGTCTAGCTCTATAGAGATGAGAATCAGAGATAAATATCTGAATGCAAAAACTAGGAGATGTAGCAAAGGATCCCTTATTCAAAACAATGTCTATGCAATAAGATATGCAAATGTCAGAAATTAAGATAACATATTATGCAAATATTTTCAAAACTGCTCTTTAGTAAGAATACTAACTGAAAAAAGCATGCAATTGAAACCCCAGCTGGCAGTTTCTGAAGCTGTGGAAAGAAAACTCTCCTGCAGAGAACATGAGATTGCAGACAAGAAATAACCTCTTTGAATAGTTTATGAGGAGCTGCAGGCTCAATGAAAGTGGCTGTAACTTTTCTACACTAATAATCTAAACCTAACTTTTGTGTTTTAGTTTATTTATATCAAATCCCTCCTCTATAAAGTTGAAATAATGTGAACAAAAACATCTTTTTCATAGAAGTTATCTTCACCTCTGACGACGGATCCACTTTTCTGCATATTTAGGTGTTTCCTTGCCGCCACAAACACCAGCCATATATAAAAGGGTGATAAACAGCCCTCTGCAGTCCTTGGTGGCGGCTGAGGCAGTCATGCAGTCATTTCATTCAGGTACCCTGGAGAATATGGAGGACCAGCTCTACCATAATTAAAAATAAATACAGAAATAAATGAATGCTCAATAAATAAATAAGCATACAATTAATTGTCCCCAAAAATACAATAAACAAATAAATGTAGGTAGAAATTAAATTATACAGTGAGACATAAATGTATATATGTCTTTTAATTAGCTTTATTTATTCACCTTTGTTATTTATTGTCCGTTATAATCCTCAACTTCATATATTAATCACTTTTTTAAGTTTTTATATATACATAAAGTAATTATTAAAAAGATAAATAAATAAAGAAGCTAAACAGAAAATTATTTTTTGGGAATAAATTAATGTTTTGTGGGAACAAATTATTATTTTGTGGTAACAAACTAGTATTTTGAGAGAACAAATTATTATATTGTGGGAATAAATTTGGATTTTGTGGGAAAATTAATATTTTTGGGGAACAAATTAGCATTTTGGGGGAACATATTAAGATTTCTAGGTAGCAAATTAGTATTTCGTGCGCACGCTGTAACTGTGTATTTTTCCCATGTCAGTTCTGGGGTTCCGTAATGGTCCTTTTTTTAAACAGCATCAAAACACAGTGGTTGCTTTACTAATATCATTACACAAGTCTTTTGTCCCTGGTATTTCATTAACACACACCTGACCAGCAGAGGTCATAACATATGCAGATGATCAGTAAATAAATAACCATTTTTTTTATCAGCATCACTTTTGTTTCGATTTTTTATGATGGAGCCAGATGTGTAGAGAAAGCAATGAAGGCAGGTCATGGTGTGTATGCTTGATCAAACTTTACATCAAGGAGATATGGAAAAATATTAATTTATATGTAAATAATAAAAGAACTGTTTAGACTTCTTAGTTCCAGGGTCAAATTAGCTGTTTCATCAAAGATGTTTTGTGTTATTAAAATTATTCATTAGAAATCACTGTGTGTACATATATATGTATATATATATAGCAGATCAGCTTTTCCCTCTTGACTTTTTCAGACGAAGTGACCATGGAGGAGGTGGGTCAGGCGACCCAGCTGAGGGCTGGAGAGCTCATTATCATTGTGGTAGTACTCATCATGTGGGCAGGTGAGAACAGCCTTCTTTAATATCCCCGCAATTAATGTTGGAACATATTAAAAGCTCTGCCGATTCCTCCCTCTAGGTGTGATTGCCCTTTTCTGTCGCCAGTATGACATAATCAAAGACAACGAGCCCAACAACAACAAGGACAAAGCCAAAAACTCCTCAGAGTGCAGCACTCCTGAACACCCGACGGGGGGGCTGCTGCGCAGTAAGGTATAACCCACCCCTCTGCTCCTTGTCCTCCTCCTCCTCTCCCCGGGTGCCTCCCTTCTCAGCGACGCTGGCCAGGTGAATGGTCCCGGCCACTTCTAGACTACCTTCACCATTGTCCATCAACATGGTGATATTATGTGCATGACTGCAGCATTCTGCATTGACACGAATCAAGTCATGATTTCTCATACTTTAACATTTTCTCCAAAGTCAGATTTTTTTCTTAACTTTATTTAGCATTAAACATACCAAAGGGAAACTAAAATCTTTAAAGATGGATTGGGAACTGTTAGTCATTAACATTCAATGTAATCATGAATGTAAATACTTTTCATGATTTACAAAATCTTTTTGGGGAATAATTTTTTTACAATCTTTTCTTTATTTAGTTAAGTAAAAAAATGCTGTATAAATCGGGGTCATAATGCAAGAACCGAGTTTCCATTTTCATAGATGAATAACGATAGTTCAGTGGGTGAAATTGACGTATAGAGAAGTTTAAACCCCATCGACACCTCCTTTCTCTGCAAATCTCACAATTCTAAACTTCTGCTGATTTAACCGGGCATTCGAACGTCGGACGGGAGCAGGGAGGCAGCAGGAGACGGAGCAACCGAACACAACTGGGCAGGCAGGGAGAAGCACGGGGCCGCCGGTGTCCAGGCTACCGTCACCGGGTCGGGTTCGGATGCTCCATTCCCCGCTGGCTCCCAGCCCCGCTCTGCCGGGGTTCCCGGACCAGCCGGGAGCTGACGGCTCGTTTAAAATGCCCGTTGTGTTTCAACTACTGCACTGTGGTCGACCGAAATCCCAGCCGATATTTTTAGGGATGAAAAGTAGGACACGTCCGGGAAAAAGAGGACGTCTGGTCACCCTACCATATCAACAATTTGATGTTTCAGTGAGTGAGTGCTTGTTGCTATGATCTGTCTGCACTCAGCAGCACCAACCAGCGCACAGCTCATCTAAATATTCATGAGCATCCCCTAAAAGGAAGAAAACCTGTCGTTTCATTCTAGGGCTATTACCAGGCTTGAATTAAGGCTCATAGAACAGCAAATATGTCATTTTCAGCCCAACCAATGTTGCACACCCTATTCAGAGACCTTCAGGACCAGCACCAAATAGCCTATAGAATCATTCTATGACCCCTTTAAATATAAATAAAACCATTTTTTAAAAAGTACCGTATATTCCGGACTAAAAAGCAACTTTTGTCCCCACGCTTTCAAACATGCAGCTTATACAAAGATGCAGCTTTTCTGTGGATTTAGCACCACAGATAGAAGTCTAAGTTGGAAATCAAATAAGAAGGGGGGAACTTTCATTTTGCACATGCTAGCAGCAGGCACGATGGAGAACAAACGTCCCGATTTTAACACATTTTGTTATTTATTTGCTGCATAAAAACTGTTGAACCAATGAAGAGACATTAGTTCCAACTGATGTGGGCCAACAAGGTAACGGGAGCTAGCATTCTTCTTTGTCCCTCCTCTAGGGGGTGACATAGAGCACTCCCTGCAGGTTTTGTTGGAGACAGTTCAGTAGATATTAGATTTATTTTTATTTTTGGGTGCCCCTTACAAGCCCTGGTTGGTCCCCTACAATTCCTTTTTTAAACATCAATCTTTGTACTAAAATATTCTTTCTGTCAGGATTTGTAGACATTAAGATCTAAAGAGAAGCAATGGTGGAGTCGGAGTAAAAAAATATGTCGGCCTCATGGAGGGTTTTTTCTGGTAGTTGCAGGGGAGTCGGCTGCCATTCGGCTCATGTTTGACTGGGAAGGACCATTTGGAATGGCTGCTACTGTATAGTGAAGTGTGCTCTATTTGTCCAGAAAATACGGTATAAAATAAAGAAACAATCTTATTTATCACACTGAGGTAGAACAAGGATTTATTAGGTAAAAATAAATACACAATTTCAATTATACTGACTGATTTAGAATCAGATGATTAGAAAAAACGAAATTATGGACCACCATAAGAGGAATGTAGCAAAGTCTGCAGCACAAAAAAATATAGAGCATATCAGAGCAGGGTGACTACTTCTGGTTCAATTACACAAGACTGTTTTTTCTGGGTTTAGTTCATGTTGTGTTTCCTTTTTTTTTTACAGTGTCCTGTCTGGCAATGTGGCAATAAGAATAATTGTCTTGATCCCAAAAAGAGCCCAACAGATTTTACTTTCACAAGTGGAGCAGTACGGCTATCTCCATATTGTTCCGCTTGTTTCATGCATATAAATTGCTTTATTATATTTATGCAGTGAGTTTTATAGATTATATGGACACTGCAATTTAAGTAGAACAGGAAAGGAAAAACAGAAAAAAAGGAGAAAAGATGAAAGAAAGAGGAGATAAAAGGGAGATAATGATAAAACATTTTCAGTCTGCTTCATCACCTGCAAAGAGATGTAAAAAGAAAAGCACAACCAACAGACATGGTACGAGACATACAATAAAGTAACACCTAGATACTTTTGCTGAAGTATAACTAGTATTATTTACTCTGACATGTACTCTGTGTAACCTGAAGATAAGAATATGTTGTGTTTCCTGATGGAGTCTAAGACCTCAGCTTCCTCTGGGCTGACGGAGTCATCATGAGGTGCTGCTCAACCAATCAGAAGCCAGTCATTGTGTGCTACACAGCTAAGAAAAATTTACTCAACTGTTTAGTTTTTTTCATTACATTCTTCAAAGAAAGATAATTTTATCATGAGAGTTAACATAAGTTAACAATTTCCATTTTAGATGTTCATTATTTCTAAATTGGCAAATAAGATCATTCAAACAAGAGCAACTTTGAGACACTGTAAGAATTTCAATTGAGATCCCTGGGGCAGAACATGTTTTAAGATTCAGTACACAAACGGTGTGCAATATGATGGTTTTATGACTAATCTAACAGGTCAGTCAAGGATATTTGGAAGGTACTTGAAGAAGACAGGAAATTTACATAAAAGGTCAGATCTCCTGCTTATTACTACACTGGAAAAACGATCTAGAAATAAGTAAAAATTCCTTAAATTAAGTGTATTTAACCTTAATTTGAGTGGGTAAATGAGATAGTTTGCCAATGGAATAAGTACTTTTACTCTTAAATTAGGATAATTAGATAACATGCACTTGAAATAAGACAATATAATTGTGTTTTCTTATTTTAAGAGTAAATTGTCTTGTTCAATTGACAAATTCTCTTTTACCTCCTTAATCCAAGAGCAAACGCGCTTGTTTTAAATCAGTCATAGAATGCAAAACAGAGTTTCCATTGTCATAGATAAATAACGATAGTTCAGTGGGTGAAATTAACGTACAGAGAAGTTGAACCCCATCGACAGCTCCTTTCTCTGCAAATCTCACAATTCTAAACTTCCACCATAAAACAGACAAATCCAAACGAAGCACCAAGTTGACGTAAACTTGGGGATGTTGCCTTATTTAGTTCTGGTCTGTACTTTTGTCACACCCCGAAATTGACATACAGACCAGCCCACTGGTTCACTGGCCATAGGGAGGGGGGTATCACGTGCCGACTGCAGGGCCCCCAACTAAACCGGGCCTCAGCAGAGAGCCATGAGTTGCCCATCCTAAGCCAGAGAAGGGGGGCTGGGTGCTGGTACGGCAGGCGGGGAGAAGCATGGGGCTGTCAGTGTCCAGGCTACCCTCATTGGGTCTGGTTCAGTTGCTCTGTCAGAGTTTGCCGGGGTTCCCGGACCAGCTCCGGAGCTAATTCACATGCTGCACTGTAGCTGCACAATGTCATTTCATTCTAGGGCTTTTAACCAGGCTTGCATTAGGGCTCATTAAACAGCAAATATGCCATTTTCAGCCCAACCAATGTTACACACCCTATTCAGCGACCTTAAAGACCAGCACCAAATACCCTATAGAATCATTCTATGACAACTTTAAGAAAAAATTACTTATCTAGATTTCGATTTTTTCCAGTGTACAAAGATTGGAAGAGAGTTTTTTTTAAGCAGGTCTGCATATTGATATTAGGTGTGGCATTAAACTTGTATGTTCATTTAACAATGCAGAGCTCCATATCATATCCATCTGTGCAGAAAATAACTGATGCAAACAGCTAATTCTCAAAGGCATCCTCATGCTCATTAAAGTTTGTGGTGGTTTACTTGTCTGTTTTCACATTTCTTCTTTTCTCCCACAGTTCCCCAAAAACAACAACAACAACAACAGGTTGCCATCTGTTAACATCATTGAGGTGTGACTGCCAATAGCTCTTCTCTTTGCTCAAAAGACTTCATGCAGACAACGAGCCCCTAATGAGTCTTTCTGTAGTCAGAATGACGCTGGGACCGAGGGACTCTGTTCTTCTTCAACACCGCTTCTGGTGAGGAGGTGAAGCTGCAGGGACTCCAGAGGAGGTGGAGGAAAGAGGCTGAGCTAAGCTTTCTATGAGAGCAGAGAGACTGCAGGAAGAGCTCAGCTCTGAGTCTGTGCTCGCTGATAGAACATGGGCCCCTGATCGTCAGGGTTATGGGGAGCCTGCAGAAGAACCAACCCAAGGGACCAAAGCTGATCCACAAAAGAGCCAGGATCCATTACCAGATAAATGAGTATTTAACTTTCCTGGGTGGTATTATGAGCTTCTTTAACCCCTTATTTCCTTCATGGGATTAACTACTACTTTTGATGTTTTGGTATCAGTTTGGGCCTTTTTAGTAAACCAACATGCAGAGACTCTTTGCTGCGGTACGTTTGTTTCCCCCCCTCAGGGAATCCAGACTCAACCTGGGTTTAAAAAAAAGACCCATTTCCAGTCCAGCCTGCCGGCTTTAGAGGGATCGGTCACCTAAATCACTCGAAGTCATTAACTTATATTTACAGCATAGTTGGTTTAGGACTAGCCTGTGATTCTCCTCATCTTTTTTTATTATAGACTTCAGAAACGTAACATTCCTCTCCCTGAACGAGCCCTTTATTACCTACTGGTGTCTTTCTTTCTGGGTGTGATGGATTGTACATCGTTCTCATGAGGAGCAGAAGCCCCCCCCCCTCCTTATGGAGTTCATTCATCTAATTAATTAACTACACATGGGGCTGGACTCTACGGACGTCTGAGGAGAGATTCCTTCAATCAGCAATAACAGTCTCTCAGTAGAAGCTAAATAAGTCGGTTTCTCTGGAAAAAGGACTGTCAGCGAGTAAAAGATGAACTAACTGGACGTTCGGTTTGCTGGAGTAAAGCTTGCGGATCATTTTTCAGTGATCCCCTTAAAAAAAAAAAGCCTTTTTCAGCGCTGTTAAAAAAATATATTTCTCTTGGCAAGCATGAAAAACTATTTTTTAACAGGCCCAAAGGTGGGAACTGTGAGTTTTCTTTACGGCATTCTAAACAGGTGCCGAGCCAGAAGGGCTTCTTTCAAGACTTTTTCAATTATTAAAATAACCATATGTTGGAATTCCATGTTAATGAGGATAAGTATCGTGATAAGTGTATACATGATTTATCTGAGGGCTGATTTAAACTCAGTAGTACTGCCTTAACAATAATTGTATTCCATGACTAAAATGTATGGCTCTGTATCTCATTTCTGTGGCATTATATTTACCTTTCATTCAATATTTAAATGTTTGTGGCGACTAAAAGGAGTCTGTGGAATAGAGGAAAAGGCAAGTATCAGATATGTAAATACACTTTAATTGTATTATTTATCATGTAAAGTTTCTCTAGAGATAATTTGTGGGATAAGGCTATTGGGGAAATTATCTCCAAATGTAGGAAAGCTAGGATATAAATATCGTTTTATGAAATGCTTTTTATTTTAAATGCATTTTTATGACTTTGTTCCCTAATTTATTGACAGGCTTTTATGAGCAGCTCTTACATCTTTACCAGAGCTCTGAATAAAAGTACAAAAAGTTTGAAACTGTGCCCCTCTAGTGACCAGAGACTGATTTTGAAGTCTGCACTGCAAAAAATTTAAATCTCAAGTGATATTTTTATTAAAATGAGTGCATTTTTTCTTGAATTGAGGTAAGTGAGACACCTGGACAATTTACATTTAATATATGAAAAAACAATTATATTGTCTTATTTTAAAAGTAAAAATACTCATTTTATTGGCAAATCATCTTATTTACCTGCTCAAATTAAGGGTAAATACACTTAATACATTGAAAGCCCTTCCAAATAATTAATATAGTGTGTAAACTTATCTATGTTCAGCAGTGAATCACTTCACAGAAAACTTAACATGACTCAAGGTTAAGGCCGTTTTTTTGAACGTTTCCCTGTATTATTTACACACTGGAAAAATTTTGAAATCTCAACAAGCTATTTTTTCTTAAAATAAGTGTGTTTTTTCTTGAATTGAGGAGGTAAGTTTTAAACTTAGCCAATGGAAAAAGACAATTAACATTTAAAATAAGAAAAAATAATTGCATTATTTCAAGTGCATATTATCTAAGTCTAATTTTAAGAGTGGAAATACTCATTCAATTGGCAAATCATCTTATTTACCAGCTCAAATTAAGGGTAATTAAACTTAATTTAAGAAAAGTTGACTTATTTCTAGATCATTTTTGCAGTGCATAGACCAATTTACCACTTGTATCCACAGAGTCCTCTTTAGGTGTTAAAGGAACCCCTTTTTTTTTAACAGCCCTTTTTTTCCTTTAGTCACCTTCATACAGTCTTATCTTATATCTTAATCCTTGTTGCCACTGTAAATACTCTCCTTTTATCTGCTGATATAACTGTTATGGAAAATCCTGGGTTTTAAGTTTTTAAATAAGTTACTACAGGACTTTTTTTTAAGAGCATCTTGAAACAAACTTAGATATTTAATCTTTCCTGCCAATATTGATCATATTTAATATATAGATTTATGAATATATTAAGGACATCTACTAGTAGCACTTCTTTCCTTTCAGCGTTCTGGGGTTGTTTTTCTTTTAAGACAGATTTTTCACCAAAAACATAGATTTTAAATAGATCTTAGACCAAACATGACTCGGTATGATGGGTGAATTATGGGTAACAACTCAAATCAGAGTGTAGCTAAAAAAAATATTTAAAAAATCCCAAAAATATAAAGGTATTTGGAATAAGTTAAAAGTAATTATCAGTAAGCAGGATTGCAATACTGTTACTGTTGAGATCTTGTTTTATTCCAGACTTCAGAATTATTTGCCATTTTAAACCAAAAGTTAGAAATATTTATAGTCATCAGGCTATATATTCTGGACCTGCAAATAAAAAGGAAATTACAGCTAAAAATACAATTTTTAAGTGGATAAAGTCTTAAATTACAAATGCTTTCCTTTTTTTTTACCTATATCAAGTAAGCTTTTACAAATAAAATTCAAATGAAGTGAATTTGTAAAGAATCACAATTGTTATCTATGAATTTATGCAAAACCAAATTATAATTTATATTATTATATAATTTCCCTCCTTTTATTTTCAATGCCTGGAAAATACAGGTTAACATTTTTAAATCTTTGTACTTTTATCCTAATTTCAAAGTATATATACAAATATTTAAGACGTTTTCATAGAGCGGAAGGTTTAACTCTAAAACAGGGGAAAACTAAAATTAAATAAGAATAACAGATGATCTGAGATACAAGATGGATGAATATAGACTATACTTTCAAATTAGTTGACAGGGAATAAAATTTGGAAATAAGCACTTTTATCATTTAAACCTTAAAAAAATAAAATAACCATTATTTTAGTTTTCCAGATCGAGTAGGAAACTGAATAAAAACATAGTGAATCATCCAAACTACTGCCAGGTCTGCAGGTTTATAATAAATTTAGCAATGAGGGTTTATGGGTCTTTTCCCATAAGTTTTCACCATTGCAGGCATGCCGATTTAAAAACCTGATAGTGTATCGACAGGCTTCTGACCTGAAACTAAACTTGGATGTCAGGCCTGACCAACTGATCTTACTAACCTGGCTGATTTAAAGCCAAAGAGAGTCAACTCATAAGTTTATTTTGATTTTTATGCATTTTAATTCAAATAGATGAATTTCAGTGGATTAAACCATCAAGCAGATTAAGCGCCGACTTTGTTTTAAACTATTTTTCGTAGTCAACTTTCAGTTTTGTTCCTCAAAAACTTGATGCAGACGAATGTAAGAAAACATTCCAGTTAAGCCCTTTGGTATCGGATCAAACCACTTTTATCAACAGAGGATTTTGCTTTAAAGTTTTATTGGTATCATTTATGTAAAATCTCAGCTGAAAAATGAAGACTGTGATGAGAAATCTTGTCAAAGATGACTGGATTTTGTCCCACAGGCCCACTATTGTTTTTATTTAAATGCAGGAATGAGAATTTTAAGCATGTTTTAGAAAAAGATTGAGCTGCTTTATTAGTGCTATCAATGATCATGTACAGCGGTCATGAGGGCTAGCATGGTTGAACTATTATGCACAATCTTTACACTTCAGACAATGCTGTATGCTTACTTGTAAATGCTTAAAAGAAATAAAAATTAAATATTTTCCAATCAACAAGGTTTTGCCAGTCTTTAATTGGGTGCACAAATGCTCTCTAGTTTACAAAGTCAGTGCTGTAAATTTCTTTTAAGGAAAAAGGTTAACAAACAAGAAATCTAAAACTTTGATTCAACTGTCAAAGATCAGATAAATCTCTGAGAACATCTAGAAAGCTGATTTTTGACATGCAGGAAAGTCAGCAACCTGAAAAATATGGAAGAAAAAAAAAACATTTGAAAAATATTAAATATATATTTTTTTTTTTTCTACTTGTGTTCCCAGCCGAACGCTGAACACTAATACTGCCCTTCAAAACAGCCAAAGCCCCCCAGAATGCTGGGATCATGTAAATGAACAGGAACAGATGAGAAGAATATTAAAATGACGTTTGTTTAGCGTGTTTAAAAAGAAACAGGAACATCTCTGGAAACACCTAACTGGCTGTTATTAAACATTTTAAATATGTATTTTTTTATATAAAAGTTTACATGCAAAATGGTAAGAAAAAAAAACAAAAACATGCAACTTTTTAAGTCAAAACACACGAATACATGCAACAAAACAAAGAAAAAGGACAAAAAGTACAAACACACACACTATATATATCTATATCTATCTCTACATCTCTCTCTCTCTATATATATATATGTATATATAAATAAAACACGTCACAAAAAAGATTTAACAGGGGTCGGGCAAATGCAGCCTGATTATTTATCAACACATGCACGTTCAGAAGTGACTTCTGTGGAAGATTCTGGGGACGTTGAGAAATCGTTTGTAGTGGGGTTTATTCAGGTCCTGCCACTCGCTGAGGGTCATAGTGCGTCTTCTGTTCCCAAACCGCTTTTGATAATTCCTGAAAAACACAAACATTTTATAGTTTTCCCATAGTGATGAATTGTTAAAAAAAAAAAAAAAAACACCCCTTTGATATCATATCCGGGAAAGAGTTCTGATTTTATGAAGTCATGTTGGGCAAGGAGGGACCTTACAAATCTGACCATTTGGCTCCTCATTTTGCCAGTTTCAACAGTTCCTGCCTTACTCCTAAAGCGGATTGTGTATGAAATCATTCGCGCCCGCCGGCTACCGTTCATTCATCCTGTTCGCTGAACTGCTGCTAGTTTTACTCAAATGCCTGGAAGATGTCTAGTGCTACAACCACAGATGATCTCACTCTCTAAATGGAATTGAATGATTCAGATTAGCTAGAATGAATAGAAGGGTTAGAGCGTAGCCGCCTGTGGCCCAGGCTGCCTGTCACAACTCAAGTCCGGCACATGGATGACGTCATACACACTGCCTTGTTTAAAAAAAAAAAATATGTAGATATATATATATATATATATATATAAACTATAACCATTGTGTGGCGTACCATAAAGAATAAATTATGAACAGTTTAGTTTGTGCCTTCAAGTCGTTGCCCATAGCAGAACAGCTCCAAATGACACAAATCAAGGTCCAAAAGTACAAAAAAAAAAAAAATGGCGTTTCCCTTTAATAAATGTAAAAGGTAAAACATAAATATGGTATTTGTACCTCGATCTCCTACAGCCATCATTTTGACGGCTCTATTAATTGCATTGTAAATTCTTCCCGGGGCTGATTGATATTTAGCACCGTTGCCTAGCAACCAACATTCTACGTTGAACTCTTTGGCTAGTACGGAAAAATGGCTTTCAGAAGAAATCTAACAGCGAAACGGGCTTTAGAAATCCTTTAAAATATTGATGATAGAGATTCGGGCAGAGGGGGAGAGACCGATGAGGAGGACTGGGTAGGAAGCGGCTCAGATTCTGACAGCGAGTCCGAGGATGATCACTCAAACCCGGGTGTTGGAGCTATTTATTCTTTATTTCTTTATTTTCATTTCCAAATATCTTCTTGAAGAACATTTTGGAAATGAAAATAAAGAAATAAAGAATAAATAGCTCCAACACCGGGAAAACACAGACGTATCAGTGACCCCTCAGACAATAGTAAAACTTTTGTTCAAGCCCTGCCCACACATCAGCCAGTACACTCAGAGGCCTAAAAGCCAAACCAGAGCCCCTGGTCGACTATAACCACATACAGGTCGGCTGGATGTGTCAGATCAGATGATTAGAAAGCTTTCCAAGAAGACGCGAAGGTGGCCTGTGGCTGTAATCTATGTTGTCCTGGAAATATCAGCTATAAACACATTGGTTTTGTTCAGGAACTGTTTGAATTTCACTTTTTTAAGGCAGAGATTTTATCCTTGAACTGCTAAAACAAATGCTTACAAACTGTACATTCTTAATGCCAATTAAGGCCTTAATTTAAAAAGTAATAATTTAATGACCTTTTTCAAAGCATATGTACAATACACAACTGAAACCCTACACCCTTCCCCTGATTAGGTTAAACAAACCACTGGCTCAATCACAGAAATTGATAAGGACCCTTTAGGCAATGTTAAAATGTGTCAGACATAAGCGCCGTCTGAATAGTGTTGGTTGTAAGGAAGGAGGTAGCAAGAGGAGCCTGCATGCCTCCGGTTCCCGTTTTCTTTAGCATAGACCTCCTAATGTAAAGGAGCTTTAGGGAATCCCACAATTCCCTGTTTGAATTTTGTAAATTGTAGCTCCTACTGCATCTGTGGGAACAGCAATAAGAACACTATATCACTGGGTAGGAACTCTGATCTGCTGTGCCAAATCTGGACAGCCTTAGGCCCTTTGGATGCAAGTTGAAACCAGGACTATAGCCTTCTGAAAAAGAGCTACAAACAACAAGATGTGCAGAAATCTATCAAAGGACTGAGCTCACTATGTACCAAATTATATGAAGGATTTTATTATATAATTTGGTACATTTCCATGTGTCACACAATGTACACAAAGAAATAATGTATTTTTGTTTAATCCATATAGCTCCTGAGGCCCAGTGGGAGGACACCATGTTAAATGAACTCTCAATAGGAAGCCTTTTCCAACCTAGCTCCTGGCTGCCAGGAGTATTCAGACAGCACTTATCATGGCAACTTCCACTTTGGCTTCCTCACAGATTTACCCAAACCCAGATCTTGTCATAGCCACCGTTGCAGTGGAAACTATCGGCCATGATTTTCTAATGTGGCAGAACTTACAACAGGGTTTATACAGGAACGAGTAACTCTAATTTAATGCTTTTTAATGCTCTTAGAAATAATTTTAAAGCTATCAACAAGTAACCATGACACTTGTGTGTGTGTATATATATATATAAATATATATATAAAAAACACGGCAAAATCCTTTATCTTTACTGTCGACAGGCTGCTGTCATGTCCCAAATTCCTCATTTTTCAGCCACTTTTGTTTCCCCGCCTCGAGCGTCTTTTCCAAACATACATTACGATCAACTGCAACCAGTTTCGTGCAACCAGTTTCTGACAAAATTGTTTTTATAATTTTTTTTTTTTAAATGCCACTATAAACACTAATCACATTGAAGGAATTTTAATGCCAATTAACCTTGATTTAAAAAATAATAATTGAATGACTTTTAATGACCCGCAGAAACCCTGTCTATAAAAAGATCAAAAGACTTGATTTCTTTATATAAAAGTAGTACTGACGCTGACGACATGCATACCTGCAGGTGAGGTCTGACGGGTGCTGCCACTGAGAGTCTCTAGATTGACCAGCCACATGAGTCATCAATTCCTGAAGTTCATTCACTGCTCCTGTAGAACATAAATGCTTTTTGTGAATCCCGATTTAAGGATTTTAAATCAATATCTTCCTTAATACAGATTTCTTCCATTTCCTGTTTGCCACATCTAAATGTTCGCAGATCAAACAAATTCCTATTTCATATAAAGATAAATAGAGTAAATACAAAATACAGGTTGGCAAGGGGACTTCTTTGATGCATGTCCTGTTGTTTACTAGAGCCGATGTTACAGCTGACTTTTATATATTAATCACTCAAATAAGAATATTAAAAAGATCTAGTCTAGTATGGCCTTAAGTGAGAATACATCCACTTCCTGTGGTCATAAATTAATATTTATCAACCAACATTTTTGGAAAGTGTAGATTATTATGACTAATCAATAACCAGGTCTGATTACCGACAGAGCTATAGGATAAACATATGAGGCATCATACCATGATGTAAAGAAATTCTCAAACATATAATAAACAAAGTCATACATTTTTTTTCAGGCTGGAAAGGACAACAAAACCTGGATTCAAGGCTTTGACTGTGTAGAATCCTTCAAAAGAAGTGATCTGCACTAAATGGCATAAGTAACTAATCTATTAATAACTGAAAAGCCTTAACTTTAAATATAACGATATAAACATCAGTTTATGTTGTTTTTTTTATTGGTGGGGTTAATGTATTAGCTGGAATTAAAGTTCTAATGTATAGAAAACTGAGCGACAGTGGTGCACGATTCAGGAGTTTTTTCTGCAAGTTGTGAAGCCGCTATCATGGTGTGAACGGGTTGCAGAGCATGTGAACGGAGCGTGGAGCCAACGGTGGAGCAGAGCGGAAGAAATATGGCGGAGAGCAGAGCGCTTTTCTTAATTCAAAGGCTGGAGTGAGGCTGGAGTGAGGCTTTCGCTACGATGCCCTCACACGTCAATTAAAAATGTAGGATGATAAAATTTGTAAAATAACATTCATTTGATTCAAGTCTGGTAAAATAAATTAATAATTAAATAGGAAACGCAGGGCAACATGAAAGGAGCCAGGCGTTACGTTCACTGCTGGGAAACAGTGCCATTATTTCACCATTTTGCCAGTTAAATAAGACAATTCACATGTATCGGTGACATCACTAAATCAAACGCCGTCTGTCCCAGGGCCCTGGCATGATTACATGAAGGAAAAATGTCCAAAAATGCCTTCTATAAAGTTAAGCTCTGAGCGGATTTTGAGCGGAGCGTCCTGGCGCAACTTTAAGTGGCGGAGCGAATAAGCTAACATTCTTCTGAGCAGGAACTGCATGCTGCTCCGCTCCGTTCACATGCTCTGATGGGTTGATGTGTAAATTTAGTTTAAACGAGTCTCTGTCACTTGAAAAGACTTGAGTAACATGAAAAAAAAAAGAAAGAATTTTTTTTAAAATACTTCTCATCATTACTTTTCTTACTTTTACAATGAATATAAAAGAAAGCAATATGTCATTCACCAATAAATCCAACAAGATCTAAAGTGAGTAAAAAAATAAACACATCTCTAAAGGAATCACTCCTCTTCTATGTGAAATAGTTCCATACCTGAAGCTCGACTTGGATTCTCATTCATGTGGCTTTTGACGAAGAAGATATAATGTTCTTTTTGACGCTCCCATTCAATGGTTCTGTCCAAAATCTGGGGTCTATAAACAGAAAGACCTGCATATGAAAGGTTACAGCTCCATCTAGAGGTAAAATAAGTTATTACAGTACCTGCAAACTGCCTGTTGTGAATGGGTAGAGGATGCTGGTTGGCTGATCCTCTCTGTGTGACCCACTGCTACCACTTTTGATCTCACCTGAAAGAAGAGCACAGATCACTGCTGTAACTACTGCAGAATGAGATGAACTAGGCCTCCTTAGAATGCTAGAAGCAACTGAGGTAACCTACCTGAACATTTATAGGCAATGTGGTTTCATTCAGACTGTCCCCTGTACAATCCTCTGAGTTGTACGTCTCTCTGGGTGCTTCTGACCTCTCAGTGTTGGGCTCAGTCGCAGCAGCTGGCTGACATATTGAGGATTCAAACATTGGCTGCTCGATGTTCAAAACCTCATCATCTCCCTCTAAAAAATCCCATTTCCCAGGTGCTAGCAGTGACCCGCTCATGTTCTCTCTGCTGTCTTTGGTTAAAAAAGAGAAGTGCTGACAAAGTGCTGGAGCTTCATCGTTCCCCTGTTGCACTGGTGGACCTTCTGTCTTGCATTCTTCCTTCTCATGGAGGTGAAATGAAGAAACAGACACCTTGTCATCCTCTACAGCTCTGGTAGCAGGTTTTTCCTCATCTGCCGGTCCTTGAACCTCCTCCTCCTTCAGCAGATTAAGGCATAAGATGTCTTCAACGTCTTGGTCAAAGTCAGATGATGAATTTATAAGTATATTTTCCGTTTTTGCCTTCTTTTTGGTGCAGCCACGTTCAACACGCTCCAACTCCAGCCGAGAGCTCACAGTTTCTTTCATTTCGCTCCTATCAGTTTCAGTTTTTTGATTAGGCTTGGGAAACGGGGGAACAAAAGGAGACATTGAATTGTTTCTCGTAAGAGAACTGGAGTAATCCATGACACAGCCAAGATCTGGGGACACAACATTGGGAATGCACTGCTTTTTACATGGACTGCTGAAGTCATCATCCACATCGCAATCAATCGGTCTCTTTTTCCCCCAGTTGTCATTAATTAGCTCAACTTTGAAGTTTACGAAAGGATCGGCAGACTCTTTTTGGGATTGAGGACCCCTTATTTGGTCACACATGACCATCCGTGAGTAGGCGGACAGAGGCGCCAGGTGTTCCCTTGTTGGAGGATTAAATATTTTGGTTGAGTTTCCTTTCTCATCCATCTCTGTTAAAAAAGGAAAACACATTAAATCCTGGTATCTGAGTAACAAACTGTGTCCAGAGAGGTTTGAAAAGCAGATAAAAACACAATTTAACACTAAGCAACATCGCACCTTGAAAACTTTTTGATGAAATTATGACACATTTTTATTATAGACTGTATCTTTCAAAGATAGTTTAAACTTAATTATGTTGTAGGCAATACAACTTGCCTTACAATACATCAAGTTACTGTATATCAGTGGTCGGTCCAGCAACAGCGATGCGTCGGTGCATGTATGGAGCCTATAGAGCAAAACACTTTCGGTGCGCGTGTCGTTTCAAGAAAGTCATGTGACCGATACAGGAGTTTCTAACTGACTGACTCACTAAACTGTGTTTAAAAACATATCTGTCAGCATGATGCACCTGCTAAAAAAATATGTTTTTTTGTGGTTTATCATTAAAATTATCAATTATTTTGTAGCTGCTTAAAAGGAATAGGAACGTTTCAGCCGTTGCGTTTTTATTTTATTTTCTCGTTGTGTCATCCTTTTCCTCTCACTTATCACTCAACTTATCTGAATAAAAGTTCATTTCAAATTGACTCTTAGTTTATTTACTGTTTTTCCTCTGCTCTTTGTTTTAAAAATATGATTTAGTCCACAAGTGTCCTCGTTCACATTTTCCCCTAAAATTCCACATAATGTATTTACATTATTTAGACTCTGCATCAAAAAATAAAAATTATATTTTCAGTTTAAACATAGATATGAAATAATATGATATAACCTACAATAACTTAAATGATATCATTGTACTGGGTTATCAAATCAATTCATACTATGTCAAATAAGCTGCCTGTAGTGTCTTTAAAGGTCCAGCAGGTGTCAGTATTCTGTAAGACAGTATCAATGCAGCATCATTGATAGTGTAATGATTCTTTTTTACTCCATTCATCAATTAAAATTTTTCAAAACTGACAGTATTTTTGTTCTCCACTTCTCCCATAGTTTAAAAACACATAACAGACATCACCCCATGTTGAGTTAGAATAACTGGGAACTGGAGAGGAATTTTGTTAACAGATTTTTAAAAAGGCCTAAGAAGAAAGCTTGGAAATCTATTAAAATAACCTGATGTATGATAACATTTGGCAATTTAGAAGGAAAGGACAACAAAAATTAGGATGTACAATAAAATTTTAGAGCAATAAATATGATCCGCTGTTGCCAGGCTTACTAGTCTGTTTTAAACCTAATATGGCCTGCATTTAATCAAAGCATTAAACTCCTGAAGCAACTTTAAATGTATTCTTGTTATGCTAATTCTGAATCACATTTTCTTTCATTTCAATTGTAGCTGACTTTCTCCTTTGTTTTTTTATTCACAAACTTCTCTAAAACGACAAACACTAAAAACCTAGTAGTTGAAAATTTTACATTTTAAGATTTACAATAAAATAAAGATGGAAGCACTAACTTACTGTCACGGTTTGGGTCACTGTCTCCACGGATTTAAACAAAACAAAAAGAGTTAAAAGTTTCACTAATCGCAAAGATATTTTAACCAACCGAATGCTTTAAACCTCAACAGGCAAAATAATTTTTTTAATAAAAAATGTCTTATGTGGCATCTAAAATTTAGGTTACACAGTTTTTGGCTAGCGTTAGCTTAAAATTTAATTTAAAAAATCAGAAATAAAGGCTGTAGAGTCATATTTAGAAAAAATACAAACATTTAAAGTCGCCTCAATGGTTTATTTCATGCAAATAAAAGTAACCGTTTTCAACCGCTCCTCTCGCCCAGGCGCCAGAAGCTGCTTGGCGGGTACTCTAAGCTAGCAACAGTGTTAGCATCAAACATCCACAGCAGCCAGCTTCTAAATATATTTTAAAAAGGGTTAAAACCTACAATGGCAAAGGGACGGTTTCGTCTGATTTAATAACGCCAAAAACTGAGCTAAAAGACTACCATTAAAAAAAAAAATAGACGTACCTTTTTGTATTTTCTTTGAAGAAAAGCGCTAAACACAATGGTAACCTGTAATCTGCTCAACTCTGATTCTTTCAGTTAGCTCTCGGGCACGCGCGCAGGTCTTTAGGGGCGAACGAGCACGCAGAGTTTAGCGGTCAAGGGTCGGTTAATGCTTTTATTTGTATTCCTTTATTTTATATATATATATATTTTTTTTTTTTTTACGTTTTATAGAAGTATATATATAATTTCTTTTTAATTTTTATATATATATAATACATATAAAAAATATACATATATAGACAGAAAAAATTACATAAATATCTATATATAAAAATACATAGATATATATATGATATATATATATGATATATTTATATAATATGTTTATAATATATTATATATAATATATATCATATATATATATATATTTTTTTTATAAATGTATTATATATTCAATTCTTTTTAATTCATATATATATATAAAATACATAAAAAATATATAGATTTATAGATATATATTGTGTCTGTAATTCTTTTTAATTCATATATATAAAAATTAAAATTATTTTTAATATGAATATAAAATAAAAAAATTCAAATATAAATATAATACATAAAAAATATATACAGTTAGAAATATATTGTATATTTTTTTATTTAATTATACATAAATATATATATATATATATATATATATATATATATATATATATATATATATATACACACACATATATATATATATATACGTATATATATATATATACATATATACATATGTATATATACATATGTATATATGTGTATATGTATATATATATATATATATATATATATATATATATATATATATACATATATACATATGTATATATACATATGTATATATGTGTATATGTATATATATATATACATATATACATATGTATATATACATATATACATATGTATATATACATATGTATATATGTGTATATGTATATATATATATACATATATACATATGTATATATACATATATACATATGTATATATACATATGTATATATGTGTATATGTATATATATATATATATATATATATATATATATATATATATATATATATATATATATATATATATATATATATATATATATATATATATATATATATATATATATATATTTTAGGTTCTGATTATACTTGGCTAAAATTGCATTGAAGTTCATCTTGTTCAGAGACATCTCTCAGCCTGACTGTCATAAAAATAAGGAAATTATGTCTGAGGGCAAAACAAAGCTGAGTGAAAACAACATGGCTTAATGGCAAGTTGAAATACCTCCATCTCTATGCCAGTCTGGGCTATGAGTAATATAGAGGTTATGTAAACATAGTAATCTCTAGGTTATGTTTGTGTGTGTAACAATTTCAATGTTTTTTTTATTTATTTTTAGTGCACAAAGCAACAGTCCAGACAGCCTTGATTTCCTGTGCGGGGCTATCTTGAAGCCAGGAGTTCTGGTAGTGAGAAGCTACAATAGAAAGAATAAAATATGAAGCCGTTTTGTACATGTTGTGATCTAGAACATTTTATAGGCACTATATAGCAGCTGTTAGTGCCACCAGCCTGATTAAAAAAATAATTACTGTAAAATAAAAAAAAGAAAAGCTTACATGACTAAAAAATAATACTATTATGATAATTATAATTGATGATGTTTGAGTCTGTTTGAGTCTGTGTAGATTATCTAATTAGGACAGTTCCTGTTCGAATACAAGCAGTTATAATCTTCATTCTGTACGTGGCAAAGATTTGGGAATGAAATGAGAGCGGTGTCCTTCAGCTAAGAACAAAGTGTCATATTTTGATAAGCCTGGAGCTATGGGTGTCTCCTCATCTGCTTATTTATTTTTTAACTCTTCCCTATTATGTTATTCTGATACACTTTTCCAACGTCCACATTTGTGTGACCATTTTTTTCTATAATCTCTTTGCTGCTGTAAACACCAGAATTTACCCATTGTGGGACAATAAAGGGATATCTTATTCTATTCTATATTTTGATAAGGCTGGAGCCATGGATGTCTCCTCATCTGCAAATGTGATTGATGTAATAATGCCATGATGTGGCAGACTGGAGTTATAGAAAATGCTTCTTTAACTGTGACTGGGGGCATATGTAAGTGCTACTTTCTGTAACCCTAAGCAA